CTCCAGTCTCTCATTTCACCATTTCTCTATCATTCACCTAATCATTATTGCTATCCTCTAATTTTCTAATCACATATGTCACAATAACCTTAATAGATGAACCCCATTTCCAGATGGGTTACCATGTTTGAATTACCTACATGCTTAAATTGTTGCATATATATATCTTAGGTTTTGAAATCATCAGTCTCTTCAATCCGTAAGAATCTTATCTAGTCTGTAATGTTATGGGTTGTAGGAAAGTGCTTCTTTTGTATAAATTGGATTGTATTTGATACTTAACATTTTTTCTTGTTGTATTGCAGGTTGCCATAAAAAACAATATTGATGTCTTCTACTTTGCATGCGTTGTTCCTATGAATGTGTACTTTGCTGAAGATGGACAAATGGATAAGAGAGTATTTCTTGCTACTTGGAAAGACATTCCAGCTCAGAATGAGGTTCAATATACACTGACTAATGTTCAATGCAATGCTGGTAAGAATTTTAAATGAATTAAAATTATTTCCAACAAATCAATATAATGATGAAGTTCTTAGTTTTGTATTATTGTTGCTGCTACTGTTGCTGCTGCTTTTGAAATAATGTCTATGAAAACAATTATTCCAGATGCAGTTGTGCAAAAAATGCAACAGAACAATGTATTTACTATTGCAAAACGTAATGTTGAAGGACAAGATATGCTATACCAATCTCTCAAACTCACCAATGGAGTGTGGGTATTGAATGAACTGAAAATTCAGCCTGGAAATCCAAATATTACAGTGAGTGCACTTTTCTCATTTAAATGGCTGACACCTGCATCATCAGATCGTGTCAGAACTTGTGGTGTAATATATTATGAAATATGAGAAGCATTTAATGGGACTCTTTTTTATTCTTTAAATTTAAATTTAAATATTTGACTTCTTGTTGGTATTTGTGTACATTAGGTATACTTTAACATACTTTTGTTCTTTCACAGCTATCTCTAAAAACAAGAGTATTGGATGTTGCACCTGGAGTGTTCCAGTCTTATGATACCATTCTTCACGCTTAATATATATTGAAGCATGATCATTGAAGTATTAAATGGGACCCAGATATACTATAAAGCAAATGTTACTTCTGTATAAAATTTTCTCTGAATTATAATTTCAAATTAAACTACAATGAAATTTTGTATCAATTGAATCTCACCTTTGTTATACTTGTTAACTGAAAAAGTTCACAAGTAACCAAACCCCTCTTGTAATGTATGTTGGTCTGAATTTTCTGGTCTGTAATTACTCTGGTGTTACCATGAAAGTTTCGAGTTAATAAAACAAGGTTGTATGTGTAAATTAAATTTGTTTTTGGTGATAAAACATTTGCGCTGATGTTGGAGTGATCCAATAAATATTGATTTTCAGCCATATTCTTCACCTATTATTGTATGAAATACAATTTTTGTGACAATATTTCATGAAATAATGCAAGAATCAATGTATCATGTTAAAACTAGATTAGTACACAATGAATGAATGTAATGAAGATATTATGTAAATGATGTGTATGTTATGTTGAAATATATAGTTCTTAAACTTGTTAGAGATCTACAAATTTGTTTTATTGTAATTTCAAAATCCAGCACTGATAGTGATATGGTAGATATTTAATTTTGATAAATTACTAGTTTGCTTTCCATCAGTTGAAAATTGGTAGTATATCATTTTTTAAATTTCTATATGTACCCTTAGAATTCGGGTTGAAGAAAAGAGAAACTATGCATCCACATTCCACATTTATAACTAAATTCTTTTTATTAAAACTTTGTGGAGATAGAAGTCTACTACTGCATTGACAGGAGATAACTGGTGTCTTCAAAAATGTTTATACTAGTATTCATTATACATTGCTTAAAAGCTTCTGCACTCGAGCGTTGCAGTAACATGTATTAAGTGATGATCATCAAAACAATGCTTGTGTGATAAGAGGCCCTAACTAAATGATCCACAAGTATCAATTCATTGCTTTTCCCAAGTTACAAACATTTTATTTTAAAAAATTGCTCTGACTACTTTTTGCACAAAATTTGTTCAGAAATTTCTCGCTCATGAAATGAAACTAGCAAAAAAAAAAAATTATTCTTTGGGAGACTACTTGTTATTGCCTTGTGGTGTTAATCTTACAAATTTTCTAGAAAAAAAATTAATCTTTACCATGCTTGATTTGCAATGGAGCCTGGGACATAATAGTTTTGTTTTACAATGTAAGGTACATTAGACCAATGTTTTCACCAACTTCACAATTTTTAGTGTCATAGTGTGCTATATCCGCTATATCTCTATTTAAAATTGAGAGAACCATTGTATCTTCACGGGTATCAAATGCCTGATTTGATTAAAAATTAAACCAAAATCATGGGGGATAATTAGAAATTCAATGTTATGTCTCAAGCTAACAGAACTTTCGTGTTTTGTGTAAAATTATCTATGAGGCACTACCAATGCTACTAATTCCACTGAGTACTATTAAAATGATACAATATGTTAATATGTCAATTCTAGGTAGATGTTGATGCAGTACCTTCAACAAGGTTGCATAGAAAGACTGGCAATACTGGAAGTACATGAATGTTGGGTAAGGATCAAACAGGGCTATAGTACAATTGCAGGAATATAAAGAAGTGATTTATTAGTAAATTGATGTGTTGCCCGATGGCCAAACAATTTTTACTTGTACAGGGCATTTGTATGTTAATAATTTTTATTAATGAATAGACTTTGTGTTTTAATTCAATTCACATAATTAAACCCTCTTCTTCGAGCAAGGCTGTTATCCCAATATCATAATTTGTATTTCAACCTGCCTTTTCAACATTTTAATTGAAAAGTGTTTTATAGGCCTAATGATCAACAGTCAAAAAGTAATATTTCTGACCATTTCAAGTTACGAAATATTTAATTTCAATTAATATCTTCCATGAAAAGAATAATTTTTCTCCATGGGTGTGGTATTAATCATACCATTATTTTTATAACATTTATTCTTAACATCATTCAATTTTTAAGAATACAGTATGTCTTCAGTAATGTTCAATTGTGTAAGTGAAGTTTATGAACCAGTGCAAATTACAGTGTAGTTGAATTAGAGTGAAATAATTCTAATACACTTCTCTGACAGATTTTTGATTGGTATTGAGACATTTTGTTTTTCAATGGAAGGTTCTAAATTTTTCTTTATATATAGCATGTGAGAACATATGAGAACATAACTGCTGCAATATGGGAAAAGATGCTTTATTTACAGACAATATAAGAGCAAGCATATATTTTTTCAAATGCCAAGAAATTAATTTTCACACTTTTCGAAGAATTTTCTGAATACTCACAGTCAAAATAAAATATATATGAAATGTTATAAACCGTAAAATTTATTCCTTATTTAGAATATAAACGTTGTGTTTTCAAATTTTAAATCTAAAAATTCAATTATATTTCTCTAAATTAATTTCCAGTCTTTATATCTAAAAACTCAAACTTTGACTCTTGAAATTTGTGCTATATGAAAAAAACATTTTGATTAATGATTTGTGAATTATTAAAGATAAATTTTAATTTAAAGAAATAATGAGTGTAAAGTGCGAATTAACTTTTTAAATTGTGGACATCGGTTTTTATATTTGCGTGAAGAAAGATGCAATTTCAAAGTATTCGGCGGGATGTGCGGACGTCAAGTTTCATTTGTCCTTTTATAAACGTCACATCCGGGTCCGGGTGTGACGCATTTATTACGTCACTCGTAGTACTGACTGTCGGCCTGTACGCCCCATGTGTATAAAACACTAGGATGTTGATCAAGGAATAGTAAGTACTTATGGAGTTTTAATTATTAATTTTATGCAATTATTATTCTTTCCACTCCCGTCTTTTTTGTTACCTAGCTTACTTTTGAAAGTATATATAATTTTCGCTTTTCTTTCGTGCGCAAATCCATAGGCCCGCCGGACGACAGCGTTGATTAGCTTGCATTATTTGTCTAGGCAGAATATTGAAATAATACACTTTGTATTTGGGATTAAATTGAACAAATAACGTTTCACGATTTGCAATGGGGCATTATGTTCCAGGGGTTCTATTCTATAAATGACGAATTTTTGTTGTCGCATTTGTTAGGTGTCATTAGGACATCGTGTATACCTCAATTTTCGTCATTGTACTTTCAATTTTCAGCTCTGAAATGTAATTTTAATAAATTTAGCAAACGCTACTTCTTCTAAGTATGCATTTTTGTTTTACTTATTTGGCACAATGCTAATGTGGTTAATTGAAGCTTCACCCACACATATTCCTATTATGAGTATGGATTCTTTGTGCATGTAATATTAGATTACTATTGTTCAATTCTTGCTTTCATTAGCTGTCACATTACAGATTCTAGACAAAAAGAGTATCATGTGAAAGAGTAGATGCTTGAAAATAGCATTTGTTCACTTGATGTCAATGAGCAATTAGTATTAATAATTTTACCTAATACAAATAGTTATAAATGGAAAATGAAAAAACTAAATTATTTTGTGACATTAATAAATGTCAAAACCCCAATACTTATCTATATTCATTTGTTTCTTCCAGCCGAGTCACCTTGCCACTGACTGTGGAGGAGGTGAGTTTTCTTTATTCCTGTCACATATTTTCTTTTAAACTAGCAGTACTCTTGTTGCAGAGTTGTTTGTCTAGATTTTGCTTCTTTTTGTGTAGAAAAAATTATGCACATGGTACAATTTGTGTCTTATTTTAAGTTACGTATTAAATGTATTATTTGTATAGATTAATTTGCATTGTAATTTGCATCATACAGAATTACTTCAATGTGTATTATTTAGTTACATTCAATATGGATTATCATTTGAGATCAACAATTTTTCAGTACCAAGTGGCCCAGCTGTATTCTGTTGCTGAGGCCAGTAAGACTAATACTGGAGGAGGAGAAGGTGTAGAAGTTTTGAAAAATGAGCCGTTTGATGACCACCCGTTGCTGGGGGGCAAGTACAGCAAAGGGCAGTACACATACAAAATATACCACCTTGCCAGGTGAGTACATGTAATACCTTTTACTTGCTTCAAGCAGTAAGTTCTTAACTGTCGGGATATTTGTGCCGTGGTAACATGAAGCTCCCAAGTCGCTACATGGTTGATATGAAGATATAGATAGTTTTGACTTTGATATAGTTTTGCAAGGTTTCTGAGTAATGAATATTGCAGCTTTGATCGAAATGTGGCTAAATGGATTCAATTTTTTCCTCAAAAATTCTCTTGGCATCAGAATTCATTCATTTTATTTTGCAGTTATGGAATAGCATTTGTAAAGGCACTGGCTTCTGTTTCTGTGAAGTATTCAATGAAGCTTCCTTTGCTCAAAAACTTTTCTCTTTGTTGATCTTCAAGTTTTCTTCTTTTTAAAAACCACCAATAAACTCAATTTCAACGTTGCAAAGATAAAGTAAGAGAAACCAATATTGATTAGGTTAAGCATAATAGTGAATAATCAGAAAGTGTTTGGTTTATTTCAATATTGTGAGCGACTAGAAATTACAGAAACCTGGAAAATGTATTTTATATTCTTTAGACAAATTAAATAGACAAATTTAAGGAAATTGTTTATATGCTTATCTCTTTTAAGAGACCTTTTGATGACATAATGGTATGGTGAATTTTGCTAAAATTATCCATAATTTTGAACTGTAAATGTTGTGAAGTATATTATGTCATTTCAATTTCTGATACTGAAAGAAAATCTCTTATCATTGCCAGTCATTTCATTTCAGAGGGGGGTCTTATGTGAAGTTAAGTTGCAAAAGTGTCAATTATGAAAATGGGCCAAATATAGCTATAAGCAGAAATTACTTATAATAAATGCTTAAGGATGTAATGAGATTGTAGTGTACTTTTGGGAGAAATATTTTGTCGCTCTCCCCCAAATGGAATAGGGTAAAGGTGCATCGGGGTTCACCGGGATCGAACGTTGCTGGCCCGGGCCGTCGGTGGGCGAGGTTGGCAGCCCTTGGCGTGTGTCACCGCCCGCGCTCGAGAGCCTGGCGATCGCCTGGCCGAGGCGCACGGGAGGTTGTGTGCGTGGTGTGGGGCAACAGAAGGGGCAGTGGCGTCGAGCCGAAAGAGAAAGTGGCTACACTCGTCTGGCGCCGCGCTGGGTTACGGGGTCAGGAGCAGCGATGTGCGGCGCGAGTGAGTCAGCTGCTGAGATCGCGGGGCTCCCCCCTCTCCCACCCCTCCAGGCCAGATTAAGCTACACCGCTGAATTATTTGGCTTCTAATACTTTGGTCCCATGAAAATACGATTTACGAAGTCCAGGAATGTGCCACATTTCAATTCCAAGACTGGTGTACTGAGTCAATCACTGTAATCAAACCCCCTTTCCCAAGATTTTTTTTTTACGACTGCTCATGTAAATAATCGCTCGATATATTGGGATACAAATAATTTGGGATTACTCCGGGATTGTCATAGTCTAAGATTGCTCATGTACTGTTCGCTGCGATTAGAATTTTTTCTCGTTTGGGAATAAAATGTCACTTCAAGTGCTTTACTCCCTTGAAAAAATATCTCAATGAGAAGCTGAACAAAAACATACTGGTTTAGTTCTAACGATGACTTTTCACTCAGTTTTAATTGGCGAGTGTATAGTACATGTTAGATGAAGGTGACCCTGAGTCGAAGTGTACTTGCTTCAGACGTTCAAACGATTGGTATGGCAAAGACTGTGTGATTTGGGTTTACCAGGAAATGTCTCGGCCAGTCACTTCGTGTAGGATGACACTGCGGGGTTGGGGGCCTGTTGACCTTTTGCCACGAATGACGCAGAGCCCCGATGAACATAGACGTGCTCGTTCGTTTTATTAGGTAGGGCCAGGCGACTTCCGTAATTCATTAGAGGGCGTGGAATTGCCCTGTGATCTTAGGAGGGCGCTCTTTTGTCTGCGACCTGTTGGGTGTTCCTTCCGTCGAGGTCGTGAAGGATCCTGTGTGTCGAGGACCTTCCGTATATTTAAATATTTTCTTATAATAAAAGAAAACTGTGCCCAGCACCTGCCTCGTAACCCGTTGTCGTAGCCACCGCGCTCTGTGGGTCGGCCTGAAGCGACGGGTATTTCTGGTGTGTGTACAGGTTATCCGTTCCGGAGACTTGTCACGCGATCTATAAAAGAAGGGATGTCGTGCGACGTGTCAAAACTGTTCTTTGGGATTCTCGGAGGGAGTGTAGTTGTCGAGCGCTTCAAGGGCGATGAAAAGATGTGAAGTCAATTATCCGAATGTGTGTGTTTGGTACAATTAAAAATAAATTACCGTTTACACTTTATTTTGATATCTTCAGTTCCTTCTAATGCCACTAGCATATTCGTTTCAAGGTTTATAACTTTCTTGTATGCGTACTTATATACGGAGAAGTACATAGGAGTGTAGAGAAAGTTCTATAATGCTGCGGAAAATTGATTCCGAGACTTCAACGGAAATATACGTTTTGGGGTCCCCTGATACCGAAAAAGTGTTTTCTTTTCAAAACGTCCGTCTGTGAACACTACTAGCGCCTAATACATACGTACAATTTCTTCCAAAATGAATATTCTCCGATCGATCTGGATCGACACAAGGCGCTTGAAAACTTTCTTCACAATTTGGGGGTACTTCACATGATGCCCCCCGGATATTTTCGGAATTTTCTCAAAATCTGGTCCAAATTTTTTTCTTTAAATTCCTCGTAAGAATAGAGTAAAATACAGTCATAAAGGTTGCATAGGTCCGATTTTCACGGTTACTTCCAAATTTTCTTATATTGCAAAATTTTGAAATTTTTTTCTGCGCCGTCCTACAACTACAAAATTGAAGATAAAAATTCGTCCTTCAAATAAAATTTGTTGTCCATAATTAGTTCTTTTATTAAAGTCATGTATTTTTTGAATATTTTATTAGTTTTCGCGCAATATTGCGAGCAATATTTAAAATTTTATAAAGTTTCAAAAATTCGATTTTCTCAACATTCAAATTTTTTCTTAAAACTTTTGGTAGGAAAAGTGCTAAATGCACTATATAAGATGACATAAACACCATGCTGCTTTATTTTGTTTTTTCAAAAATTACAAACATGTTATTTTTTGACTTGTGCTTTAAATATAAAGTTTCTCGAAATCTCAACAGTTTTCTGTGAAACGAACTTCCGCGTATTCAGAAATGCTCAAACACTATTTTCTCAAAACGAATCAAAATTTTTTCTTCGAACTTTTCCAACGAGTAGTGCAAATTGCACTTTTAAAGTTGACCTAAAGTTCCTTTTGCTTTATTTTGTTTTCTCGAAAATTACTCAAATGTATTCTTTAATCTCTCACCCCACTATATGCATATTTCTAGCGATTTATAAACACTATGGCATTTGTGTGTCAAAGTGCGTCAAATTCGCTGCACTGGAACGTAATGGTGCTTAAAGGAAGTTATTCGAAAAGTCAAAAATTTTCTGTAAAAAAACTTCAAATTTTGCATTTACAGAACGCTTAAATGCTATTTTTCTTAAAAAGGGCTGCAAATTTTCCATTAACAATTGCCATTTATGACGAGGTTTCCCTCTTGTTTAATATCTTAAATAATATTTCGGATCTACTATTAGGAAACTGAAAAATTGAGAAAATGTCCAAAACATGTATTTTGACCGGTGATAGGTGGCAGCTGGCAAGAGACTGGGGCAAGGCTAAACCATTCCACGCCAAGGAAATTAGAAAAGTTTACTACGAGAAAGACTGTGCTATGTGAAAGTTAAAAATTTCTTCACTTTTGCTTGCTAGCGGTTTGTCGTAATGTTGCCATTTAACGTATTGCCCTTCCCCTTTGTACAATATCCCGGACTTTTTTTACCCATCAGACAATACACTCGATACCAATTTTAGTCCTGATTGAGGAATGTAAGCATCTAGTGGAACGAAGTTTGGAACTACTCTTTTAGTTGTATTCATTTACTTCAAAACGGAACCAACAATTTTACATTACTGTCCTTTCGTTCACATACATTTGACCTCATCTGGGCTGACATTTATTAAAATTTTGATTTGAGCGGTAAGTTGAAAGTGGTAAAAATCTACATCAGAAGCGTCTTCTAGACTGGAGGTTCTTTTACGCACTGTAAATTTGTGATATGGGTCGGACGGACTAATTTTGTTTTCGAAGAAAGGAGTTTCGAAGGAAGTGTGCTCCCTAGGCTCATCCATGGACGGACCTCGCGCACGTGTTATGTCTGTCGAACACGTATCACTAACCGCCGTGCAAGTGGGTGAGCAACGGTGTGGCGAAGAACAGAGCTCGCCTGCAGAGCTGGAGATGTGATCCTTCGGAAACGATTTCGCGTCGCGAGCAGATGCAGCTTGCGAGCTCTTAGACCGCTGCAATGGCGTTTTTAAGCGTTAGGATACACGAGAAGAAACTGCTATCTATATTAAGGCGCAATAACTCACGCCATCGGGGAATTGAGCAACCCCTGCGGTTGGGCCAACTTTCCAATGGAAAGCATCAAATAATTGCCAACTTCATGTTATCCTCATGTTGGCTGAAACACACAACACAAAATCCAGCCTGACAAAAAATGGCCAGTAGAAGAGGGCGAAATTTGCTACACTGAAAAGATTGCTTACTGAGCAAAAAAAAAAAAAAAAAAAATTAAAAATAGTAACCACGTTTGGAACAAAGAACAATGGACGAGAATGGTTGTTTGGGTTAATGTACACTTCATGTGCGTGCAAAATTTTGCATAACGTGTATGGTGGCAACGTAATAAAGTCCAATGTCGATTAGTCTTGCGCTGCCTGCTTCATTAAGGTCACAATGAATGGGTGTCGGAACCGTTACCTTAAGATTTTATTTAAAACGATGGTTTTTCGTTGTAGTTGTAGCTTGTAGTTTTTGATACGTTTAGAGATTCTCCTTTCCAGCAATGGCGAGTTGAATGTAATCAATGAGGATATTTCTGTAAATTTATGTACTGGCGCCTTACGGACATTGAAAAGTGCGTATTGATTTCCAGCCTTCTAATCGA